AAGCCAAAGGCAGATGCTTAACTGACTGAGCCACGCAGGTGCCCTGTTCTGTTTTGTTCTGAAGTATAGTTAACATGCAATGTTATATTCATTTCAGGTGTACACCATAGTGATTTAACAATTCTGCACATTCCTCAGTGCTCACCCTAAGGGTAGTCACCAAACAACGTTATTACAGTATTATTGACTCTATTCCCCATGCTGTACTTTTCATTCTCCATGACTTATTTATTTTATGCCTGGCAGTTTGTACTTCTTAGTCCCCTTTATTTATTTCACCCATTTTGCCAGCCCCCTCCTCTTGGCTTCCCTTTTTTCTCTGTTTAAGAGTGGTTTGTTTGTATGCTGAACATTGCTGTTCAGTAGTGAAATGCAAATCAAAACCACAATGAGAGGGGTGCCTGGCTGGTTCAATCACTTAAGTGCTACTTTCAGCTCAGGTCATGATCTCAGTGGCCTGGGATTGAGCCCCATGAGTCAGGCTCTCACATCACCTCACACCTGTCAGAATGGGTAGCATCAAAAAGACAAGAAATAGGAAGTGTTGGTGAGGATGTGGAGAAAAAGGAACCCTGGTGCACTGTTGAGGGGAATGAAAACTGATGCAGCCACTGTGGAAACAATATGGAGGACTCAGTTTTGATACCACCTTCTTGAAGAAATCCTTTCTGATTTCCTGGTTCCCACTGCTCCACAGGTCACATGACAGGGTTATGTGGCTTATGAATCCCCCACCCCTCCAGGCCCTGAGTTCCTTAAGGAGAATCCAAAGTATCTCACGCATCTTACTGAACTGAAGAGAAGCTGACTAAAACAATGTCCTAGTGTGGCTTTCCTGTAACAGACCAAGTAGGGCTCAGGGCACAATTGTCATTCGAGAGGAAAGTTGTAGCATGCTTTCCATGTGTCGTTCTGCCTTTTTAAAAGCTACCTAAAAGATCCAGTGTGAAAGTACTAATAGAAGCAACCAGGAAAATCAGATTTTACTTCTGGGTGCTAAACTGATACAAGCCTTCAAAATTAAATGAAGTGAAAAAAGATCATTAGCTTTGTAGACCTGATGACATATAAAGGTGAGGAGATATATTCTGAAATATGAAGATATTATATGTGGATTAAGACTATTAATTAGGGGATCCCTGGGCGGCTCAGCGGTTTAGCACCTGCCTTTGGCCCAGGGCATGATCCTGGGTTCCCGGGATCGAACCCACATCAGGCTCCCTGCATGGAGCCTGTTTGTCCCTCTGCCTGTGTCTCTGCCTTTCTCTCTCTCTGTGTCTCTCGTGAATAAATAAATAAAATATTAAAAAAAGACAAAGAACACCTTCTGAATTACCATATTATATCACATAGTTGTTAACTGAAAAAAAAAAAAGATATGATCTTACATCTAGAAGGACTTCAAGGACTTTTAGTGAAACATCTTCACTTTATAGTTGAGAAAACAAAACTAAAGTCAACCAAGATAGCACAACTCAATTTGTCCAAACAGAGAAAAAGAACCTGGGCCACCTGACACCACCTCTCTATCCCCCTATTACCCTCTGGGTTTTCTCTTCGTTTTACACTATCATATGTAGCCCTTCTCTACATCCCAAATATTTTTAACTATCACAAAATGTCTACAGTGTACAGCATGTATCACCTATTTTAAACAACCTCTTCTTGCCTCAGAGTCCTCACTTTGTAGTGCTCCCCACTCCTGCCCACATAGGTGGGCTAATGGCCCTGGGGCTGGGGGTTCCTGCTGCAGTTGCAGCCCATCAGCTGGGCATCACTGGAGTTCACAAGCAGTCAGATTTGTGGTTCAGGTTACATAATTTAATTAAATGTTTACATAAAATAATGAAGTCTTTGTGTGAAAGAGGAGAATATGTATTCCTGTGAAAAACAAACTTGGTTTTTGGGGAAGGATTTGTCAAAAGGAGAGTCAAACATTTATACCAATTAGTGTTACACGACAATAAGCTATGGGGGGATGATGGAAACCCGTGGGAGTCTGTATTCATACCATCACTTCCCTGGAAAATTCCCATCCCCTGTTCAGAACAAACTGATACACACACAAAAGATTCAGCCTGGGCATAAGCTTATGCCCAAACCAGGCGACTGAGAATTCTAATTAGCAGATCTGTAACAAAGCAGAAATGACAAAACCAGAACACAGACTTTGCACCCTCGCTTGCTGCCCAAAGTGCAAGTTACAGGACTTAATGTGGCCTCAAATGTGTGAAGTTAAAATACCTAAGACATGCGAATGCATTATTTTATTGATTCTCTGCTTTAGCCAGTTCTGAAGCTGTCCTATCATCTAAAGAATGGACTTTTTAATATTGTGGGGCAGCATTTATTTTGTTGAAGTAATGGTACGCTCTACCTCTTTCCAGATTTGACTGGAGTGGTTTAGAAACAAACCTAAAACCAGCTGCAAATTAAAACAAAGAGGAAAAGAAGTAACAAATAATGGGTGAAGACGGAGACTGTAAACACAACCCAACTTACCGTTTTGTTTTGTGCTCACCGTTGGGTGAGTCTGTGCTTGCTATTTTAAGAGTCACTACAAATGCTAGGGCAGAGTCAGAGGAAAGTAGCCGAGCTCAGCTTCCTGGCCTCCGGCACCTACTGGTGCTGGGCAGTCCTGGTCTCCTCTGGCTGAGGCCATGTACCAGGCTGCACAGTTCCCACAGTTCAAACTCCCCTAGAGCCAGGATAGAGACGCCTCATTTAGATTTCAGAAGACTCAGTGTTAATATCCCCAAGTGCACACAGAAAGCCAGGCATAGGAAGACGCAGTGTGCAGTGCACGGGCCACTGTCCGTCTTGGAGGCCAGTCACTGGAGGATGTGGCCTGCAGTAGAGGGCCGGAACACTTTAAAAGGACACATTTCTGCTACTCTATAAATGGTGGTGAATGTACAAGTTAGCTGCAAATTGAGAAGTGGGACCCCCAATGAACTGTAAAGCAAGACTTGCTCCCAGGTTTGTTCAATGTAGACAATGTGTTACGGGAAACATTTAAAATGCTGAAAATAGTGTTGCACATACTGCCAAGAGCCCATCTACCCTGTCTTCTTGCTTCACCTGAATTACTCCAGAAACTATGAAATTCCTTGCTTCCAGCCTCTCCTCCTTCCAGGACATCTTGTGCAGGTTAGCATTTCACAGAAAAGTCCTCGAGTCACTCTCCTGCTTTATTTTTTTTTTTATTTTTTTTTTATTTATTTATGATAGTCACAGAGAGAGAGAGAGAGAGAGAGGCAGAGACACAGGCAGAGGGAGAAGCAGGCTCCATCCACCGGGAGCCCGACGTGGGATTCGATCCCGGGTCTCCAGGATCGCGCCCTGGGCCAAAGGCAGGCGCCAAACCGCTGCGCCACCCAGGGATCTCCACTCTCCTGCTTTAAATGCAGAATGAAGATCAAACTCCCTTGCGTGGCACGCAGGGCCCTTTAACAGCTCCCCCCCATCACCTTTCTACTCCCTCCTCCACGCAGCAGCCCCACACCTTCCTGCCTCCTTCCCTCACCCTGGGATAGTGCCCACTGGTCCCATTTCATTCAACTGATCACACTCAGAAAATTCCAAGAACAGATCAAATGACATCTTTTATCAGTAGCTTGCTGTGAATCTTGCACATACCTTCCATTTCTCAGCTCTGCGCTCCTGTAACATTCAATTTCCATCTCTATAACAGCCCTTTCCACGTGGATTACAGCCAGCTCCCTGCCTTCCCTGCATTCTGTCAGGCTTTTCAGAGCACGCTATTTCCTTCATCTTGGGTCTCAGTGCCTAGCACAGGGCTGGATCAGAGCAGACGTGCAATCTAATAATGACACTAACAATAGACATGATAATGCTATATATAATAAATCTATCCACAGGTAACACATATGGATTACCTGTTACGTACCAGAACTGACCTAGTATCTGTATATTTTCATCTTTGAACAACTCTGAGAAGGAAGCAGCACCTTCTCATTTTATATGTATTCTGAGATTTAACACTATTTAAATACTGTTTACACGCTCTCAGCTCTAATAGGTGTTGGAGTAGAGATTTAAACCAGGTCTCTATGAATCCAAAGTCAGTGTTCTTGCAAATTCAACCTGCATGATACTCTGATTTGTTCTACATGTATTATACATTTTCTTTGTTTAACTTTCTACGTAAGCATGAGCCAATTTCTAGTGGCATAAAACCACTCACATCTTTAGAAGTACAAAAAAGGGCCTATTGTTGGCAATTAGCTCCATAATTTGCAATTCTAAGCTCCTTTGAAAGATTTCACATTAATACCATAAGCTATCAATAAGCATGTCAAGTCTTCTATATTTAGCCAACTACAAACAAAACTCAATAAAGTGTTTCTTTAGTTTTTCAAAAATATTTTGGGGGAATGAAGGGCGATGAGCATGAGGAGCAGTTAGGGTTGTTTCCTGGAAATGTCTCATACTTATAAGTTAAAAGGAAATTTGAATCTCACATATAGAGAATATAACATTAATACTTTACTGAAAGGCATTACTGATGTAGTGAATAAGCCTCGACTTATGTTCTGATGATAAATTCAGAATTATTTATTCTCTTGACAAAAACTAATTTCTGTTTTCATTCCACTACTTTGCTCTACCTAAGAACCAATGTGATGGACCATTTTATTTCAAGGCTTTATATTAGAACTTGTGACCTCATGTCAATAAAAAGCCTTGATTGGATTATGACAGAACAGGAATGCAGGAGACACCTCTCCTCATTGAGATGTAGGAGCAACTACTAGTAAGGAGGCATTAATATTTACATTTGCAAAGGAGGTGGCTAGACAAAGGGGTTTATACTTGGTCTCTGGAAATCCTTCCTTTAATATTTGACTTCTGCAATAACAACTACTAAAGGCTCTGCAGTGACATCACCAGGCAACCAAATCCAACCACACAAGATGTCCTTTAACACTGCTCCCTCTCAGAAACACAAAAAACCCAAGCAGCATTTGCACACTTACTTTTTCAGTTTGCGTCGAATCTCTGGATCTTTAATCTCATTTCGAAGATCCTCAAAGTTTTCAACGGAAGTCAAATTGCAGAAAACTCTGAAGTCAGCATAGGGGGGAGCCCGTGGTCTCGCCCCCTTTGAATGTTGGTGGCAGCCAAGTCCAGGGCCACAGAATGGGCGGTGGAGAGAAGCTTCTCGGTCAGCTCTAGACTGAGCAGTTGGGAGGGTACCCGCAATTTAGCGGCCACGCCAAACAGCCCCCGAAGGAGGGGATCTATGCCACCTTCCTCGATTATTCTGGACGGTGAGAAGAAAGCTTTATGGAGGGGAAGATGGCCTTCAGGGATTTCCCCGAAAGTGTCGTTCAGCCGGTAAAGAATAGGATTGATCAAGGTGTGACCAAATCTGAAGGCTGCAGTAGCAAAAGAGTTGATGATGCCCGCGTTCACACTGGGGTCGTAGCCCTGGTAGCCCCGCAGCATCCTCATGCCCGGCTCCCCCAGGATCTTGGGCAGCCAGTGGCTGTAGGTGATGTGCTGCAGCTGAGCCCCCACGATCTTCCTGGCTTCATGGTAAAGGGTGTCTCCGTCCCAGTGGGGGTTCAGGGCAGACCGCGCCGCGGCCACCCTGTTGTGCTCCCGTAACCACAGCGTGTGCATGGCCGTGAGGACCAGCTGCTCGTTGGCCCTGCGGTCCCCGGCTAGGAAGCGCGCGCGGCGGCCGCCCTGCCCCGGCCCGGTGCGCTCGGTGGGGGGGCCCGCGCAGGAGGGCAGCAGGGGCTTCCCGGAAGGGGCCCAGGGCAAGCCGGTTCTCAGGAGTCCGCGGGGCTCTGAGAAGTCCCGCAGGGCGAGGGATTCCCTCTCCGAGCTCCCGTAGACATTAGAGGCATCGATGTAGGCCGTGAGCTGGTTGATCTGCTCCCTGGCGTACACGGAATTCATCACCAAGGAGGCCACGCCGCTGCCGCAAACGGGGCTGGAGCGCGCAAAGAACATGCAGGGCGCCCGGGCGCCCCGGGGGTCAGCGTCCGGGAGGAGGATGGGGAAGCAGGGAGGGTCATCGGTGCACGGGGCGCTGCACGACCGCCCGTCGGAGAAGCGAGATGTGCTCAGCGCAGGCGCCGTGGGGTCCAGGTCGTGGTCGAGAAACTGGCCCCACTGCAGGAGCATGTGCGTGTACCGGTCGTCGGGGGTGGCCGTGGCCGTGGCCGCCAGCTCCGTGGAGACCAGCCTGGGCGGCGGCAGGGGGTGCGGACCCGACGGGCTGTGACGGCCGACCCCACGCGGCAGGTTGAAGCCGTCCCCGTAGGCAGGCTGCAGGATGCGCTGGAAGGCGGTCGGGGACGCACCCCACGTGGGGTGCTGCAGGTTGTTGCACGTCCCGTCCTGGGCTCGGTACTTCTGATGGAAACACGCGTCGGAGCAGTTGGGCCCTGGCCTGTGGGCTGTACATCCAGACAAGTTGGCGATGAGGCTGAGGGAGCGTGGGGACACCAGGTCATTGTACCGGAATTCTGCAACGCAGAGCAACAGCAGCAGTGAGGAGAGCTGTCCTTGAGGTGGAGTGACGGAGGGACCTCGAGCCCAGGTGCCATGGGGACGGGCCACTCCAAGTGGGCAGAAATCTCTCCCAGATCCTTCAACATTTCATTAGGATAAAACAGAAAGTTCCAATAAAAAGGGGGGCGGGGGATGCCTAGGGGCGTCTCGCTCATGAGCAATGATCAACTGCTAGAACAAACAGAAATGGAGAGACATGTCCCAGTTCCCATCAAACTCTTAAGTTCTGTGCCTTTACCAATATAATTTCGTAAGGATCTGTTACGGCCTCATCACAAGGTTGTAATATGCATATTTCCCGTTTCAGAATTCTTTCTTGCAGGCGTTATGCTCCTAGAAGACAGGGTCTATAATGTGCTAGTGTGGACGGTGTGATATTAACCTGTGTGATAGTTGATATGAAGGGATTAAGCAGTAGCTTTTAAACTACCATAGGCTGTCATTCTCCAGGGAAACTGCAATACAACCTGGAGGTATTTGGGAGCCACTCTTTTGACAGAGCTTAAAATTGCAGCATAATCCTAAATCTGCAAAGACTATTCACTAAGTCCCGCTTGCTATGAGTTATTATCTCTACTTAATCATCAGAAACTGGCTAATGATACCAGGACCGTTTGTCCTGTAAGTCCTGTAAGCTGGTCTCTGGCTGGACCCTGAGATAGCTTAGTCTTGGATAGATACAATAATCTTCCTATATATAAAAAGACATGGGTCCGGGGTTCACTTTTAGGGCAAAATTATCCTGGAGGGAAAAAAAAGGCCTTTAACTTTACAAATAATAAGAGAGAGGTAGAACAACATAGTGTTTTTTCCTTGAGAAAATTTTGTTAAAGTCCTCGAATGTTTTAGATTAGAATATAAACAGTTTGGTAATGAACATCATGAACAATGGATGCACATTTTAACAAAGCTAAATCTCTTTATATTGATTGTTTATTTTCTAGTTTGAATTTAAACTAAGTTATTCTTGAAAGTTATTTCTTCTAATAGATATGTATGAGAAGAGAACTCAAAGGCCCATTATCCTGACCTGGAGCTGAGGAATACTGTAGAACTGAGCTTTTTGCAGAGCTGACCATGGCTAACTCATCCTTAGTGAGACTCAGAATTAGATAGAAATTGGATTCAAGTGCTAATATGGACTATATGGAAATTTCACTTGGATATTCTAGTTTAGGAAACTCTGAAACCCAAGACATAGTATAATGGAGCAGTAATAATAAATAGAGCTTTGTAGTAATTGCATAGGGCACCTAAGGGGTGAGCCAAGCACAGAAGGTGCCTTGTGCACTGTATCTTGGTTTATTTTCTGATGGAGAATAAAGAAAGGGTAAACCTCTAGAAGATGCTGTTGTGCTCACAGAACAAATAATGTATAGCAAAGGATCACATTTTTACTTTAAAGAGAAAGATTAGAAAATCAGAAAGATTTCTGTATCATTCTCATTTGGCATTTAGTAAGTAAAGTCTGGTTTTGGGGAAAAAAATACATGAGAATGTCAGTATAGCAACAACAACAACAAAGACTGGCAAGGATACATATAAGTAGAGGAAGGTACTCAAATAAGTTCACTGAATGATTTAGATGATTCCAATAATAAGCAGAGGAACATTACCCTGGGAATAAAGTCTTTTTCATGGAAGTGGGAACATCTTCTGGATTAAAAAAGTAAAGTGGGCCCCCTAGATTTGCTAGACATAGGTAGCTGATAGAAGCTGACAGGTTTGAATATATATTTATCATCCTTTCTTTTGAATTACAGTTCTTACGAGAAACATCTGCATTCATTTGGTAAAGTGGTAAATTCATTTCTAAATTACATGGTGTTTTGGAGATCAAAAACTGGAGTGATCAGTTTTGCTAATGACAGTAGGCTGAGAACAGAATGCCCCCTCAGAAGCTGACCTCTACCCTCCAAATCAACAGTAAGCCCCTGCTTCACGTGTTCCTGGATCAGCAGAAGTGTGTGCTCAAAAATCTCCCCAGCTCTTGCCGTCTCCACAGTAAATGGGTCATGCGGATAACGAAACTGAGCCAGCAGTTCACTAGGGGTGCGAGGTTTTCTGCAAACGACAAAAGACATTATTGTTCACAAGGCAAAACTGCAGAATCCATGAATCTCAGTGTGCATTTAAGAATATTTCCCAAACAATCAAGAAAAAGAAAAGCTTCACTACCAGAAAATAAGCTTCAAAGAGGGAGCTGAGAGCTCTTCTCCTATTTTGTTACTGAGGGATTCCTAAAATGCCAGTGACAGTGCTAAACTCAAAAGATATATTTTTAATGAATCGGTGAATTAAAGAATAGTTTTCTATAAAAGGTATAATCTATGGTGAAAGTTATAAACTTGTGGAGTCCACACATAGTTCTTAGGGGGCTCAGTAAACCCTCTGAAACAGTGTGCTATACACTCAGTTTCTGGTTGTTGGCCTTGTCTGTCTTCTCTTTGCTCAAATGTAACTGCCTGGAAATTCCTGCTCACCTTAACATGCTACTCATGTATTGCTCTCCCTATAAAATCTCCCTGGTAACTCTTGACAATGACTTCTGTATGCTCACAAACATCTATTACATACCCAACAGGATGTATTTAAATTGTTGACATATTGTGTGTCAGGGGCAAGATGGTGCCTTATTCATCTTTATATTCCACATACCAAGCCTACCGACTAGCACACAGTAGTGGTTTATACACATTGAAGAATTGAACTAAATAAGTTAAAAGACTATTAGTCATCCAGAATATGAAACTGTTTTACAGATTTTGGTCAGCTAAGGCAAGTCTGGTCCTCGATGTCTGGAATCATAATAACTTTAGATCATAGAATAATAGTAATGATATTAACAGTTCACTTTAATTAAGCCCCTTCTATGTGACAGACACTACTGAAGCACTTTATCTGTACTAACTTATTCAATCTTCTAGCAAGTATGTCCGTGAAAGAGATCTTATTGTTATCCCCGTTTCACAGTCGAGAAGTATGAAGTACTAAGATGTTTAGTCACTTGCCCAAGGTCACTCAGATAGAAAGTGATGAAGTGAGGAATCACAGTAAGAATATAAATAAGCTGCATGGCTCCAGAACACGAGTCCATGATCGGAAAGCCATGCTGTTTGTGAGTATGCAGGGAAGTGTTATACTAGACTGTGGCATTATAAGGTATTCCTTTTAGACCAACAGCTGCAAAGACTGTATGTATATTTTATTTGACTTCAAAGAAAACAGTCATGTTTTCTCTGATAGGTTCAGGTGATGCAAAGCATCCCATATACCTCCATCACGACTGATGGGGACTTCATAGAACCAGAACACTTCACTACTCTAAAGATGTTCTGATTCAAATTAAAATATATCAAAATATTACATGTCCTAAACAAAGCTTTCACCTGTGAGCTATCAGCTTATGACCAGATGTGTTCAACTTGACAATTACTTTCAATTCCTGGGTTGGCAGAAGCACTGAGTCTGACACTGGTGGATGATGACCTAGCAGAACCCATTACCTAGTACCTATTGTGGGACCATAGATAGTGGGTCTGTAATGTAAATTTATGCCATTTAGATGCTATGGGAAACAAGTTGCATTCTCTTTGAGACTGAGCTGGCAATGGTGGCTAGCCCAGAGGGTGATAACAGGCACACAGACTAAAGAAAATACCCGCTTTGGCAATCTTATGCACTATGCCTACTGTGATTTATGGAGATTATAAAAACCAAGTAGGACTGAAGTGAAAACAATTTTGTAATCAAAATAAAATAAATTCTTACTGTGAAAACAAATGTCTTCGTGTGGAGTTAACTGCACTGTCAACCCTCTGTACAGCATCAAGAATGGATGATTCAACAAAGTCATAGCCAGCGTGTCTACCCTGTATTGCTTTGAAAATCAATTCCATGATTAAAAGTATCAAACAAACCTTGAAGTTAGGAATGATCTCATATAAATGGCATTACAGAAACTTGCAAGACAATAAAAATGTAATACAGTGTCCACATGATACTGTCCATTGCAGAAGAGTAGATAATTATCCTGAAGCAAAGCTTCCAGCAACAATAACAGCATTATTTAGGGAACTAAAGCATTCCAAAATCTAGTATAACTATGTGAAATATTTCTTTTTTTTACAACACTGATTCAAATGGGATTTAACTGTGTTAGTAATTTGTCATCTTCAGAAAGGTATGAAATGCCTATCTTTCCAGCTACCTTGCTTTAATGTTAAACATTAAGCATTAAAACTAATAAATATTACCACATCCCTATGGAGATTTCTTAAAGCAAGAATTGAACTCTCAGTAAGATTTCTGTGAAAATTAGTTCATGTTGTTTCTATAGCTCTTCAGTGTGTGAGAATTCTATCAAGTTGAATATTATAGATGAAAGAAGCTTTTAAGTTCAACATATTAAATCATCTCCAGGTGATGGTTTAGGAAATTTATGGTAGAGGGGAAAAATGCTAATAAAAATGATTATGGATATTAAAAACTCATATTAGAAAAATAATCATATCCATATTATTTAGTTCATTTTTGAGAATATTAAAAGTATAATAAGAATTTATATGACATAATTAAAGTAATAACTTCTTAGCACTGTTGAATTTTGAATGCAAGAGTAAGTATAGCCCCAAAAATTGAATTTTAAAATAATGTCATTAAGGAGATATAATGAAAAGTTTAAATAAAAATAGGAAATTGTATGGATTACATAGTACCATATAGAATATATATCATATATTATATAATACAGTGTAATATTAAAAGATTATATATGTATATTTATATGTCTATAAGTATATATGTATGTTTACATATTTTGCAATAGAGGAACACAAATAGTATTCCACGTTTGGTTTTTATTTAAAAATTCCTTTATTTTAAAACAATGTATATATACTAGATTGGTTCATTGTCCTAAAAAGATCACTAACATAAAAAATTTCAAGAAAAAAATACCAGTGATTTACATATTATTAGAAAGCCAGTAAAATCAAGGTTTCTGTGAAAGACATTCTTGATAAACTAGATTATAGGCAGTAGTTATGAGTTGGAGTAGTTATGAGTTGGAGTAGTTATGAATTGTCAATTCAATTCAGTCTTTATCATGACCACAATATTAAAGCTCCAGAAGGTCAGTTTTACCTGTCACAGTTCAAAAATCACACTGGATTAACTATACCTTAGTGAAAGATAATTGAGAGAAAACAAAGACAAAGTGATTAATTTGATTATATGAAAATTAACAATTTCCATTCAAGGAAAGACATAAATAAAAAAGTAAAAAAGTCATAGACAAATAACATAATAGGTAAAATATCTATAATTTCTAAACTGATACAAAGTTAATATTCTATTTTATTCAAGAGATTCTTGAATGCATTAAGAAAAAATGCATATAGGCAAGTTATAAAAGAGGAAAGTTATTAAGTTAGTAAGTATATGACAGATGTTGAAAACCACTTAAAACCTAGAAATAAAATTTAAGATATCAATGAAGTACCATTTTGTGCTTATTCTGGCAAAAATAAAAAGGCTGATTACTGCCAAATTTTGGCAGGAGTGAGTGGACACCAGTAGGCTGGTGAGAACGTAGAATTGATGCTCCTATTTCCAAGATTTTGTTTAGGGATTATATATATATATATATATATATATATATATATATATATATAAAGATTTTTATTTATTTATTCATGAGAGACACAGAGAGAGAGAGGCAGAGACACAGGCAGAGGGAGAAGCAGGCTTCACGCAGGGAGCCCGATGTGGGACTCTATCCCGGGTCTCCAAGATCAGGTCCTGGGCCGAAGGCAGCACCAAACCGCTGAGTCACCCGGGCTGCCCAGGATTAAATATTTTTGATTTTGTTTTTACTTAGTAAAATGACATATGTGCACCCACCACCACCACTTAGCAATCTCATTCCCCGTATATATATATATATAGAGAGAGAGAGAGAGAAATTCTTATGCAAATCCATAAGGAGTATAAACGAGAATGTTCAATGCAACTTAGGAAGGAATTAGGGAAAACTGTCAGCAATGGAAGTGTGGGTAAGAAAAATGTGGTGGATGTATGGTATGAAATAAAATGCAACGTTAGAATCAGCCGGATGGACACATGCATGGATGCTAAAAAAGAGTGCCTAATGAATGTAAAAATCAGAAAGTTGAAAGAAATTACCATAGAATGATTTAATTAAATACATAATAAATGCATTATAGTTGTTACATAACAGCATGATGGGAGTGGGGTATTGGCTTATAAGGAGATGGATTAATTAATCGATCAGTTAAGCAATCAATCAGTATAATTGCCATGATTTTGAGAAATCCTAATATTCTCAGTACACCGGACATGATATACTTTGCAATAATTCAAAGGTAAGTCAGTAAGAAAGAGCCTACTGAATTCGTTACTTTTACTTGGAAATAAAGAAACCAAGATCAATCAAATCAATCTGTTAGCCTTTTCTCTATTGTTCTCCTTTCAGTCCTTCACTTGTGAACTTCAAGTGTAGAGAGTGGCATCAATGATGTGTTCTTATTCATGACAATTACTGCCATTGGATCCTTGTACCTGTGTGCATAATATGCAATCAAAGGTCTGTCAAAGGTTGTGTGTAGGACTGAGTTATCACACAGCAGACAATGCTAGCCAAAACTCAAAAGGCTATTCACTGTGGCAGACAGAACTTGGAAGGAATATTTAAATTTTGGAAAAGTATCAATTAACATGTTAATCTGATTTTATATGTTTGATGATTTTGCTTTTATTCTGTTTATAAAATAGTTTTAGCTATTATGGTTGTATAGAATTTACAAGCATAAGGAGTTTTAAATTTTAAACACCTATTCTTCATCTTTTGACTCATTCATAAAATGGAAATAGTAAGACTTGTTCAACTTATGGTTTAACAAAACATATAGTTGGGCCAAATATGATTATTAAATAAAACAGGCATGCAAAGTTCTTTGAAAATGACATGTCACAATGCAAATATAAGATGCCTTTCAGTGACTATCATGTTCTAAACCCCTAAGTAATCCATATCCTCACTAATCATCCATTGCAACTGTGTTGTCCTGTCATTTCTTCAACTCGACCTCCTTTTACTTTATTAATAAGAGACCAACAAGTGTGGAGATGTGAGATGGAGAGGAAAATAAGAAGAAAAGTAACACAGTATGTAAACATTGTCTAAAATAATTAAATTCTGATGTGCACAAATAGAAAACATATAAAAGCTGTTTGTTCACAGATTATTAAAAGTACATTAAATATGTAGCATGTTCACACAGAAAATATTTGTGGTAACAATAACTCTTTCTCACTTATGTCATTTAAATTATGAATTTTTTAAGGTCTCATGGTTTTATGATAAAATAAAACTAACCTTTTTATTATTCATTTAGTCTCAGTACTGTTTTCTTTGGTGTGGTACAAATTGCAAAAAAGATTTCCATAAATGTTTCCAGAAGAGCACTGTGTTATGCAAAATGAATTCAGTTTATTGGGACACATTAGAATCAAACAACACTGTTAATATTTTATTTGTCTTAAAAACTACCTCATGAAATGTTGTAGGGATAGAATGATTGGAACATTGAGTATATATTCCATCTTTTATTGCAAAATTTTGCAGAGGGGAAGGAAGAACTAGATCATCTTCTTTTGTTAAGTCTTGGGGTTAAAAAAGGAGAAAAATCCTCAGTAGGGTTACAAAATTAAGCATTTTTAGAGTTGTATGATGAGCATCTCCTTTCAGTTCTGTCCATGTATCTCTGAGACTCTACACCTCCAAGGAACATAAAGTCGAAAGATAAATTTGAGTCCTTTCAGGAAGGGGGAGCTTAGGTATAATGGTCCACCAGCTGCTGTGTGCTCACCCTGTCATCGCATGGCTGACATGGGGAGGATGGGGTGCGAGAAGCAAGGCCTTGAGGAGGGACATTGAGGCAGGACACCTGAACCCCTACCATCAATCTCACCACAAAATATCTAGACCTCAATAAAAACCAAGTCTCTTGGAACACCTGGGTGGCTCAGTAGTTGAACATTTGCCTTTGGCTCAGGACGTGATCCCAGGATCCTGGATCTATTCCGCTGAGGGCTCCCTATGGGGAGCCTGCTTCTCCCTCTGCCTGTGTCTCTCTTGTCTCTCTCTCTCTCTGTCTCTGTGTTTGTGTCTCACATGAATAAATAAATAAATCTTTAAAAAAAAACAAGTTTCTTTCACAACTCAATATTCTTAATCTCACCCTCCCTCCTGTAGAAAAGAACCAGATAATGTAAACATCATAACTAAACAGGAATAACCACATAAAATCTTCCCTTAACGAGAACAAGCAACCACTGACACTGGAAAAGGCTGTCCTAGGAAACGGTACACTCCCACAACATACAAATGGGTATTAACGACTGCCTTTGTGAGATAATTTTCTTTGAATGGCATCAACTCTGCCTTAGTCATCATTTTGTGTCATTAGGCATATGAATGGGTTCATCATCTTGCGGCTCCTTTTGGTTTTTCCTTTGTTTTTTATACTTGAGATAGGTCTTTTATTTTGATTATTTGCTTTCCTTAAAATTTCTTGACTATCCAAACACTGCTATACTACAAATCTGTTCTTGAAACTTAATGCTAATTTTTTTTGAAACATGTGGCTTATCTCCAGATAGACATATATGTTCAGTATAGATTCTATGTGTAAATGGAGGGGAATGTGTTCAATATGGTTAAAAGTATTATGAATATACGTACACATATGTTAGGTATATGCTGTTGTTTATAGAAATATTTCACCATTTATTATATTATTCAAGATTGTTGAGGTAAACAATTGTGTATCTATTATTATGTAAATTATATCATAATCACAGTACATAAATATACTAAATAGCAATTGAAAATGATTTAATATCAATTTCATTTCATTGATATAGCTGAGTAAATGTAATTAAAATTTTCTGATACTTCATAGTTCACTCATTGTCCAACAACTGAAGTGGTTTTGAAACAGATGTTTTATCTAGACAATGACAAATATCTGGATTAGAATGTCAAAAAATCAGTGAGTTATTCTTTCAGAATTTCCAAAAATAACTAGTTCCCAAAGGAATTAAATAAATTAATTGATAAATAACACTTGGAACACATGGTAAATGGCCTATAAATATTAACTTATTTTACTAGTAGTATTATTATCAGAATAATACAGGTTATTTACCTAACATAATAGGAAAGAAAGGTCTAATTTAAAGTCAACTAATGCGATCTTAATTCTCATTTATAACTTACTGAGTTGTGTACATAGTCAAAGTAGAGAGTATTCTAAGTGGAAATATCATTTAGAAAAGTGATTGCAAAAGTCTAAATGACCAAAGAATGAACTATGAAAAAAGAGGTAATATGGAGAAATGTAAAAGAAGTAATATTTGAAGAAAAAACTGGTGAGACATGCATTTAGAGTAAAGAAGGAGAAGGGAACAGAAAAAAATCAGAAGAAATTCTGGTTTCCTCCTTTTAGAATATGGATCGTATTAAAGGACTGCCAGGAGAGTACAAGGTCTGAGGTGAAAATGAAGAGTTCAATTTAGAATACATTCAAGATCAGTTTTCAACATGTGGAATTGCAAGGCCTGTGGATCATCCAAAATGAAATGTTCCACACACAATACTCAACTCAGAATTTCAGAGAAGAAAATATTGTTTAGATTTATTTATCATTACAAATAGTATATACATGATATTTGTGCTCCAAAATTTTCATTTAATCAATGCTGTGTCACTATTTCACTTTTAGCCTGGTCCACATATTATTTCAATATCTCAGTAGTAGACATGTCAACATGCTCTAAAGTACTTCCTCACTACTGCTGCACATTTGAATTCTATGGTAGAAAAAGAATTTTTATGCCAAAGACTCTTGAGAGTGTCTTCATAGCACTTAAGAGCACATCAATACATATAGGCAGTACTAAAGTAAATTATGTTTTGAACAAGAATTTGAGGTTTTATTTGGTGTAAAGTAATAGGTGTAGCTTTCATATGCAAACTATCACGCAGAGAAAGAAGTATGCAGATATAAGTAATATTTGCCAATACAAAATACTTGGAGGACATCCTAAACCAAAGCATAGGCTCCCAGTAAATACTATTATCATCCTTACAAGTTTTTAAAAATGTATTAAAACTATTAAAAATTTATTACATCTATGAAAAAAGCTCCTTAAAAAATCATGACTTTAGGGACTCCTTTTTTTCTTTTGCTATTATAAATGCCTTACTTTCAACAACACTCATTCAAATGCATGGTTTATATATATAAAATGCCCAGATTTTGCTTAAATTGTTATTGTGTATTTTTATTATTTTAGATTACTTTCTATGGTTGTATTCCCAATACAGAATAGAAACTCAAAAGGCATGATCCTCTTTTCATCACTTCTTACACAATGTGTGGAGTTACAACATTCCATAACTGCTTAATTGGGGCATTAAGTTTGGAAAGTCCTCCTATAATGCATGGTCTTTTCCTTTTAATTAGGGATAACTGGTGAATGAAAGGGTCAAAGTCATAAAATGTCCCATAAGTGATATTTTATATTGACACATTTCCTCCTATTCAGCTAATTTGTAGAACACACACACACACTTAAATCTTAAATTTATTCAAAACTTTAAAATTTATATCTTCATGCTTTCTTCTCTCTATAAAAATATTTCTAACATCATAGAATTTACTTGGTATGAGATACAAATATAAATTAACTTCCCCTTATATTGATATAAAAAAAGGTGTCAAGAGCAAAAAACATATTTGTTTTCTTGACTGAATAACTTATTTTTTGTACTATTTTATCCCTATAGCCTGACTTTCTGCTTTCTATACAATAGAGCAGAATATTGGTAAATGCTACTTATCACTCTTTTAAAATCTAGTAAATAGAGTAACTAATACACTTTGATCTAAATGTTTTACTTTTAATGAGTATATATAAAATGATTAGTTGAATTTCAGTCTACCACAATGAAATTCTTATGCTGGAGGTTCTAAAATGTTGACCACCATGACTAGTGTTTGTGTGCATGTGGCTGAGCAAAACAGAGACAGGGAGAGAATAAGAGGCAGAGAGAGAATTATGTTTTTTTTGTGTGTGTGTGTTTGTTTAGTGCTAAAGATTTCTAGCATCTCTAGTACATAAAAGATAGTAATTTAAATTTTATAATAAGTTTTTTGCAAAATGCTTAAGAATATTTTTTCATAGATCTCATAGCAGAAAAAGAAACACAACTATCATGGATTTTAAATCAAGAAAAACATGAACTCATAGTAAATGGCAAGTAAGGCTAAGACTATGTAACTTTAAGAAATTCTATATGATAATTTTTGACCCTCATGGAATAAATATTCACTGGTTACTAGCTACATTGTTATAATTTTAAGAGCAATATTCTACAGAGAATACTTTTTACCATACAGTATAATAAATATGTAAAGATTGGTGCACCATTAATGAAAATATATACTTTGTATAGAATACCCAAAAGAATGGATAGTTGGAAATTTGATTTCTGGGGAAAATTTGCAAGTGTAAGACTATGAAACCACTGTATTATATGATAGGTGATAGTGACATCTTTAAGGATGATTTAATTAAATAAATCTATTTTTTATCCAGGCCTGTATTTATAATGAGAAGAGTTACCCAATAGTTTTAGAGACCCATAAGAGCTAGAAAAACTAAAAGGGAAAAAAATTAATCTGTAAAACCCTATTTATGAAATCTGCCCATTTCTAAGGAAACCAAAAAGCAGGCAAAGCCCAAAATAGTACTCCATATGCTTGTAGCTGAACTCATTTATTTCAACTGCTGATTGTCAATAAAGGAGAAGCTCCTAAACCCATCCACAAAAAAAGCAATGCTGATGTCAATTCACATGTCCCTGCATGCTGTACTTTTCTTGAATGCTTTCCCCATGTGGAGAACATGCCAGTCCATCATCATGGCCAGTCCCCATTCCCATACCCACAGCTGAGGTTTTCACTCAAGTCTGCCTACAAATAGACTCTCTCGATTCCAATACAAACTGATTGACTGAAGGGAAAAAAAGGGATTTTGTTTTTTGTAAAACTATGACAATTTTTTAAGCAGTCACTATTTATAAACTGGCAGAAGGTTACAGCTAAAGAACCAGACAGATGACAAAACATAAAACAATGGAAAGTATGTTGACCAATTATAAATGCTCCAAATATTGAGGTATTTGCTCTTATAGTGGCAAATTTTACCTAGAAGTTTGACCAATTGATTGATTTTTAATTTTACTGTAGAACTAAATATACCAGGTCAGAGTAACTCCTACATGTTAAATTCCATTTGTCTTTAAATCTCTGACTTCACTTATATTTAGATATGCATGTATCTTACATTCTATAATTTTCAATTCCTAAGAAAATGTGATATATATTTGCAAATCCTTCCTATTTATGTTTGCTTTTGGCATTGTTAGTTTTGGTGTTTGATACCCTGTAACGTAGCTTACACTTAAGAGCTTAGATTTAAACAATTAAAATAACTTTGATTTAGTATCAACATGTTAAAACAGAAAAAACATATAGGGGAACTTGGGTGAGGTGAATCAGGATTGGAAGTAGACGCTGTCAAAGACAATTATTTGAATTGCATGAGGAGCCATACTTACCTACAACTGTGAGAAACATGTTGGCTACAACAAGGCCAAATGAATTCTGAGCCACACATTCATATCTTCCTTGGTCAGCTTGCCCTGCATCATAGATGGTTAGCATGCCTTCCCCACTGACATGGAATTTACCACTTTTGGTAATCTGAACACCTGCCTAGGGAGTGAAAGGATTATTACTGGAAGAAAATGTGATTCCCTAAAAAAAAATGACATCTTACATTTTGTTGGATATAGCTTCATTTGTTCAACAAATATCTACTGAGCATCTACATATTAGATGAGGTATTTTATGAATCTAATGAAGAGAAGAAAAGAGAGTGAGAGAGAAAGTGCTTTCCAGGAAGTATGGTTTATCTTTCTTTGTAATTATAATAAATATGATACTCAAAATTCAATTATGTAATTATTTAATATTATGATCATTTTAAAATCATCTTTCCAATGATTGACTATATAGTTTATTCATATTTTTCTTACTTCCAGAAAAGAATTATGACAACAACAATAAAAATAAAATTTGAATGGAAGGAAAATTTTCATAAATCTACCACCTAAAGCATCAAAATATTTTAATATTTTTGCTTTCTATTTCTTTTTTGTATGTACTGCAAAGCTTTATATATCAGTGTTTCTCAATTAAATTATACCTTAAGAAGATAAAATGACCACATTTCATCTGAAATATTAAAATGTATTCAGTTATAATTAGTATGGATTTATGTTCTTCACTATTATGCTGTTAATTTTTAAAAAGAAAATGAAATTGGATTTCTAAGAGTGCATTAGAGTGGAGTAGGGGTAGAGAGGCTTCTCTCCTACCCCTCCCCAAGAGGCTCATAGGAAACCGAGGATGGGAACTGCTGTTTCAAAAGAACTCATACCCCTGTGATGACTAGTAGGCCAGAATGTAACCAGAAAGGTTCAGAGTGAAAAAATGCTTCATAGGTCTTCAGATTCTCACAGTAGCCTTTGACCACTTCTGGAAAATAAGTCTAAGGTAATGGGTGGCTGGTAACTCAGGGTAGGAGATGAGAGCAAGTAACAGAACCTACCAAGTGGAGAGCAAATGGAAAAATACCAAACATAAATAAGTGATAAGTGTCCTGGTGCACAGGCAGTAAGGCCCATGGAGTCTTTCCTTTAGGAGTACCTCTTTTCACTTCCTCTTGCTGGACCATCATTACATCCTCTTTGCAGATAAACTCCCTATCTGCTCTCCTATGTACTGCCAGAACTCTCAGGCTAAACCTATAGTTCTATAGTTTCTGTTTAGAGTCTCCAAGCTATCAGATAGTTTTCCAATAAATTCCTATCTGTTTATTTTGGGAGTAGCCTAACTCACATCCATTTTCACCTTGTGAATAGAAGAAGATTATTATAAAGATTAAAAATGGTACTGTACTCTCTGTGTGACTATCATAAATAAATTTAAAAAAATTAAAAAAATGGTACTGTATACAAAATGTCTGGCATATAGTCATCCCTCAATCAATTCATTTGGGACTAAAAGCTACCTTTTAGAAATTAGACTGAGCTATTTTTCTTATACGATTATATGATACATTATTTAATATAATGTCAAATAAGGCCTAGAGACTGACCAAAATGTGTACTTTTCACACTTCTTATTTTTAGTATAAAATATTTGAATTATATAATATTACACTTGAAAGAAATTACAAAAACTAGTCAGACTGTTTGAGAGTACATGAGTCTAAGGTTTCAACTTTGAGACCACTAAATTTATTTTTTATAAAGAACTGAATATGATGTTCTGCTACGGCACAAAAAAAAAATGAACCACCAAAACTAAGGCCTTGTTGCTACATGGCAACAACAAAAATAAACCAAGTGTTTTTGGAAAATAACTTTGTAAATTTTCACAAATTTTACTTTTTGTCAAAATTTTCTATAAAAACTGTCATTCTGATGTATGCAATTTCATTTATTTTTTAAAAACATCAGAATCTGAGGGGCTCCTGGGTGGCTCAATCCGTTAAGCATCTGCCTTTGGCTCAGCTTATGGTCTGGGGATTGAACCTTGCACTGGGCCTCCTGCTCAATGGAGACTCTACTTCTCCCTCTCCTTCTACGCCACCCCCCTCTCTTGCTCTCTCTCTCTCTCTCAAATAAATAAATTAAATTAATTTAAATTAAAAGAATATCAGAATCTAAGATCAATCATTGCATTTTTGATAAAAAATTAAAATGAAAGAAGTAATTACTTTGAGAGAATATATAGCTTAAAGACCAAAGGAAGTAAAATATGTAAATAAGAAGCTTTATTTCTTTAAAGTCACTCAACTTTTGAACTTACAGGACTTTTTTCATGTCACTTTGTTTTAATACCAAGTTTTTAATTCTTGTTTCAGCTAATGCCCTACTTTTAATCAACTTTTGAGTAATTAATTCAAAATTATTTCTTGTTAGCCACTAAAACTCTTAATTTATATAAGACAAATTAAGTTTTTCCATAGAAGAATTTAATTATGAAGCTTTCATCACTAAGCAAATGAGAAAGGATAAATTTTATCAAAGCCCTGAGCCAAAACCAGATCTAGTCACTTAAAAATAATGAACAAAGAAGAAACAGAAAAAAAACTTGTTTACAAGAGTAATAAATCAATGTGAGAATCACTACTTCTTTTCAGTGGGTCAATACATTTGTCAGTGTTTTTAATATTACTGTACCTTTAGTTGAGATCTTACCTTGTTCCAGGTAATTATGGGCTGTGGTTCTCCTTCAGCATGACACGAAATGTTTATATTCTTTCCAACCTCTACACTCGTATCCTGAGGTAGTTGAGTAAACACTGGGAGAGCTGTGGAAACAAATCAAAATGATGTCATGTCAATACCATTTTTGTCAACCAGCCACATCTAAGCCAAATGGCATAAATCTGGAGATGATACTGGTTAACCACACTAGTGTTTTAAAAAGCAATTACTTGAACATCAGAGAGTGTAATAAATATCAAAGGCAGGGTACTGATAATTAGGATAGAGATGAGAAGAGAAAATAAAAGAGGAAAAGAAATATACAAAGCCTTTAATCTTAATACTTTAACCCTAACCTTTAACCTTAAATGTTTATAATATTTATTTCTTCAGCTGAGTAGTATATATAAGGATTTTTACTAATCTTTTTCAATATCTTTTCCAAAGTCTGAAATAAAGATACATGGTAACATCAAATTTTATTGCTGGCTAAAATAAAGAGATTCAATCTTACTTTGTTTCCTCAAAAAGCATAGTATTATGATTCACCTAATATGAAATAGGTCATTGAAATAAACTTAAAACTATTAGGGAAAATAAATTCAAAATATCTTTTCAATCCAAAACATAAATTTTTAGGAAAGAAATAAAATCTTTTTACTAAAGAATTCTATCCAATATACAATGTCTTATAGAAACTAAAAGAGTAAGGTATGTTTCTGACTCTTTTTAGGTTTACCTTAAAATCAAAACCAGATAAAGATAGTACCAAAATCAAAAAGAAAAAAAAAAAAGAAACCCTATAGACCAGTACCTCTCATGAATATAGACACAAAAATCATTCATAAAGTATTGGCAAATAGAATTCATCAATACAAAAAGGTTTATACGCCATGACCAAAGAAAGTTTACTCCACAGATGTAAGCCTGATTCAGTATTTGAAAATCAATCAAAGGAATCTACTATACTAACAACTAAAGAAGAAAAGTCCTCATAATTTCAACTAGTGCAAACGTGTTTGACTAAACTTAACACTTACTTATGAGTAAATAAAATCTCTCAGAAAAATAGCAATAGTTTACACAACTTGAAAATGAACATAGATGGGAAAATGGTGGAGGAAAAGGAATCCTAGTCCTGTTTCGTCTCTGGAATTCAGCTAGATAGCTATCAAATCATTCTGAACACCTGAAGACTCAACCAGATATCTAAGAAAAGAGTTGCTGCAATTCTACATGCAGAAAAGCAGCCACTTTTTGCAAAGTAGGAGGTGTGGAGACACGAATCCGATGAGATATATCAAAAGATAAACCCTGGGGAAGGGAGCCAGTGACATAAGCAGCAGGGTGCAAAATTGGAATGTTTATAAGTCTACACTGGTTGGGGAAGTCCCTGCCTCAAAGGTGCTCAGGTAGTGAAGTGGGGCAGAACCTTGGATGGGACAGTATGGTCTCAGGATCTCCAGGGTCACAGAAAGAACAAGGGTGCCTGAGTGTGGCAGGACTCCCAAACATCAGAATGGGGAAGCCAGCTGCAAACCCAAGCTCAGGAATAGGTTTTCAGCTTGGTATTGTCATAAACCGCACAACCACTGCATGGCTGGGTGACCACTCTCTGAGCAAGAGGCCCATTAAGAAGCAGAACCGCAGGGAGACCTCTCCCTCCATGGAGGAGCACTGTGGTTGCATGCTGCAGGACTCTGCAAAGTTTAGAGAACTCGAAATGGGGTCTCCTTCCTGAGATAAAAATGCTCGGGCACAGGATGGGTGAACACAGAGTGTGGAGGGAAACCAGGGAGACAGGAGTGATTGACTGCTCTTCTGTGAAGGCTCACTGAAGGCTCCAGGGCTGGAGATTGGGTACCACCATTATTCATTTCCATCACCCAAAGAAGTGCTAAAAGCCTTTGGGGAATAAAAACCTCATAGAGCAATCCAGAGCCACTTAATGCTGAGCCGGGCACAATGGCAGAAGAGGTGCAACAATGCCCAGGCACAGACATCTGAGAATCAGTGCAACAGCACCCCCCTCCAGAAGACCAGCAGGATCATCTGGCTAATACCAAGTTTTCTGATCATATAGAACTACAACACTCCAGCACTAGGGGAAAATAGTATATAAAATTTATGTTTTTTTCTCATGATTCTTAAGTCTTCCAGTTTTAATTTTTTTTCTTTCCTTTCCAGCTAATTATCAAATCTTTTTTTAAGACTTTTTTTTTTTAATTTTAATTTTTACATCCTTCACTTTTGGCTCCCTTTCATTGTATTCAATTGTATTTTTGTATATACATAGGTTTTTCTTTCTTTATAATTTTGGGATCTAATTACTTCTTAACAATCAAAAATTATATTTATATAAGGTTGATATAAAAAAGGTTATTAATGAGATGCAACCAAAAAATGGAGGCACCAACTGCTAGGATAAATGAGGCAGAAGAGAGAATTAGTGATATAGAAAACAAAATAGTGGAGAAGAAAGAAACTGAGAAAAAGAGATAAACAACCATTGGACCATAAGGGGAGAGTTTAAGAGATAAATGATACCATAATGTGAAACAATATTAGAATACTCGGATTCCCAGAAGGAGAAAAAAGAGAGCAGGGGCAGAAGGTATATATACCTGAGATATTATAGCTGAGAATTTCCCTAATATGGGGAAAGAAACAGGCTTTCAAGTCCAGGAGGCATAGAGGGCCCTCCTCAAAATCAATAAAAATAGATCAACACCTCAACATATGACAGTAAAGCTTGCAAATCTCAGAGACAAAGAGAAAATTCTGAAAGCAGCTCAGGACAAGAAGTCCTTTAACTACAAGGGTGGAAACATAAGGCTGGCAGCAGACCTGGCAGGCCAGAAAGGACTAGCATGATATATTCAGGGTGCTAAATGAGGAAAAAAAAAAAAAAAAAACAAGAATACTTTATCCATCAAGGTTCTCATTCAGAATAGAAGGAGAGATAAAGAGCATCCAGGACAAATAGAAACTAAGACTTTGTTATCACTAAACCAGCCCTGCAAGAAAAATTAAAGGGAAAGAGAGAGCCAAAAGTAATGGAGACCAGAAAGAAACAGAGACAATATACAGACAGGGACTTTACAGGTAATACAATGGCACTAAATTCATATCTTTCAGTAGTTACTCTAAATGTAAATGGGCTATTACTATCAAAAGACAGGGTATCAGATTGGATAAAAAAAGCAAGACCAATTGATATGCTGTCTAAAAAAGAGTTATTATAGACCCAAAGACACCTCTGGATTTAAAGTGAGGGGGATTGGGGATCCCTGAGTGGTTCAGCAATTTAGTGCCTGCCTTCAGCCCAGGGCATGATCCTGGAGTTCCGGGATGGAGTCCTGCATTGGGCTCCCTACGTGGAGCCTGCTTCTACCTCTGCCGGTATCTCTGCCCCCCGCCCCGGGTCTCTCATGAATAAATAAATAAAATATTAAAAAAAAATAAAATAAAGTGAGGGGGATGGAAAACCATTCATATGCTACTGCATCAAAAGAAAGCTGAGGTGGCAATCCTTATATCAGACACATTAGATTTAAAACTAAAGACCATTCTAAAAGATGAGGAAGGACACTATATCATAATCAAAAGGTCTATCCAACAAGAAGTTCTAACAATTATAAATATTTATGCTCCTAACATGGGAGCAGCCAATTACATAAACCAATGAATAACAAAATTAAGAAACACAATAGTAATACAATAATAGTAGGGGACTTTAACAAACCCTCACTTCAACGGACAGATCATGTAAGCAGAATTTCAAGAAGGAAACGAAGGCTGATGCACACTGGACCAGATAGATATCACAGATATATTCAGTGTATTCCATCCTAAAGCAACAGAATGCACATTCTTCTCAAGTGCACATGGAGCATTCTCCAGAATAGATCACATACTGAATCAAAAATCAGGTCTCAACTAGTACCAAAAGACTGAGATCATTCCTTGCATATTTTCAGATCACAATGCCTTGAAACTTGAAATCAATCACAAGACGAAAGTTGGAAGGAACAAATGCATGGAGGTTAAAAAGCATCCTACTAAAGAATTATTGAAGAACAATTTAAAAAATTCATGGAAACAAATGAAACAATGAAACATACCTATTTAAAATCCTTGGGATGCAGCAAAGGTGGTCCAAAGAATGAAGTATATAATAATACAAGCCTTACTTGAGAAACAAGAAAAGTCTTAAATACACAACCTAACCTTACATCTAGAGGAGCTGGAGAAAGAACAGCATATAAAGCTTAAATGCTGCAGGAGAAAAGAATTAATAGGATTAAGGCAGAAATCAATGAAATAGAAACTAAAAGAACAGTAAAACAAATGATCAAAACTTGGAGCTGGTTCTTTGAAGGAATTAATAAGACCAATGAGCCCTCTGGCCAGGCTTATCAAAAAGAAAAGAGAAAGGACACAAATAAATAAAATCATGATGAAAGAGGAAAGATCATGACCAACACAAGGAAATACAAACAATTATAAGAACATATTATGAGCAATTATATACCAACAAATTAGGCAATCTGGAAGAAATGGATGCAGTCCTAGAGACCTTTAAATTACCATGAAGAAATAGAAAACCTGAATAGACCCATAACCAGTAAGGAAATTGAAGCAGGAGTCAAAAATCTCCCAACAAACAACAGTCCAGGGCTGATGGCTTCCCAGAGGAATTCTACCAAACATTTAAAGAAGAATTAATACCTATTCTTTAGAAGAAGCTGTTTCAAAAAATAGAAATGGAAGGAAAACTTCAGAACTCTTTTTATAAGGCCAGTATTACCTTGGTTCCAAAACCAACAAAGACAACACCAAAAAGGAGAATTATAGACCAGTTTTCCTGATGAACATGCATGCAAACATTCTCACAAAATACTGGCCAATAGGATCCAACTGTACATTAAAAGGATTATTCACCACAATGAAGTGGGATTTATTCCTGGGCTGCAAGGGTGGTTCAACTTCTGCAAATCAATGTGATACAGTACATTACTATGATCTGTATCATATTAGAACCATATGATCCTTTCAATAGATGCAGAAAAAGTATTTGACAAAGTACAGCATCTATTCTTGG